GGGAGAGGCCACAACAGTGAGAGGCCCGCATAACGAAAGGAAAAAAAAAAAAAAAAAAAAAGAATTGATAGTATTCTGAGATTCACTGTAGTAAAGTGACAAGGCTGCTCCTAGCCAGAGGCAACCCCCTCTGGAAGCATCTCAACTGTATCACAGTCTGATCCATTCCATACCTTTTTTATAACATGTAGCACTGGGACATCGCCTGTCTTCTCTGTTGTCAAAGCAAAAATTGCACTTGACAATGTTAAAAAGGTTGTGCCTCATTCTTGCCAAATGTATGTGACACCGTCACAAAGGACCACACATGGTACAGATGCTAAGAAAAGCACAAGTTTGGAGTCTGCCCGGCTGTGGGCACTTGCTGCCACCTATAGGACGCTACCCTGAAGGCATTCTCCTCCCGGTTCCCAGGCCAAGTTAGGAACCGGGAAGAAGCAGAGAATTTCCAAACACTGCTCTTCTGCTTCTAGCAGATAAATCCCTCTCCTTCCTCCTTCCAAACTGCTCACTCCCCAGAGGCAAAGCTTAGAGAGACTTCTAGATGCTGTGCTAAAGATGCCATGGATTTTTGTGGCCCCCAGAAAACTATGAATTCAAGATAAGCCTCTATAGTGTTTTTTCCCTCAGCTGTGGTGGGCAGGGGAGTAGTTTTGTAAAGTCAGATTCAGGCCTTAAGATGAAAATAGATTTTTTTTTCCATTTTGCAATTGAGGTAGAGTTGATTGACAATATTATATTAGTTTCAGGTGTACAAAATAGTGATTCAAAATTTTTACAGATTATACTCCATTTATAGTTATTATAAAATATTGGCTATATTTCCCATATGTTTCGAATGGTTAAAATGAAAATGTAGGAGAGAATTTAAAAACAAACGAACAAAAAAAAACCCTGAACTAGTGGAATCTGCAGTCTGGCCTGGACCTGCCTCCCAGGCGCTGGATGCACCTGGGCCTCGCACACCGGCTACGCTCCACCCACACTGACTGCTCCGGTTCCCTAAGGGCCCCTTGTTCCTTCTTGCCGCAAGGTCTCTTTATGTGTGCTTTCTCCATCCGAACCCTCTTCTGTCTCTTTCAACCACTACCTCTCCCCTTGCCTAGTTAACTTCTCTAGATCTTTTACATCTGTTTAAACTTTGCTTTCTCTGATCACATTTCTCCATCTTTCTGACCAGGTCAGCCCTCTATTAGAGCCACTCTCCCTCCAAGCACTTCCGGTTACCACTTTACGTTTCTTCGTATGGTTTTCTTTCTTCTTCTTTTTCAAAAGGATACTTTAAAAAAATTATTTATTTAGTTATTTGGCTGTGCCAGGTCTTAGTTGCGGCACGCAGGCATCTTCGTTGCAGCTTGCAGGATCTAGTTCCCTGACCAGGGGTGGAACCCCGGCCCCCTGCATTGGGAGCATAGAGTCTTAACCACTAGACCACCAGGGAAGTCCCCGTATGGTTTTCTTGATCAGCATCTACCTCCCCCACCAAACTGTAAGCTCCGTGATGATGGAGACTTGTTCTCTGTAACTCCCCATTATTCCCCAGCACCACCAAACAGTATCTGTCATACAGCATGTGCTTAACAAATAGGTCATGATATATTAATTTATTAAGTTTATTATAAATTAAATTATTAAATGAGTGAGTGAATGAACCTGTTGATTTCATTCACCTTAGTCTCCCTTGGATTTGTCTCAAAACAGTTAACAGTAGCTTGAAAAAGTCTTCTGATAACGAATGCCACTCTAGTTTTAACTCCATAGGTAGGAAGGGATCATAAAGCTCATCTAGGGCATTGACAAAATGAAGTGAACTAAATTATCCCTCTATTCTTCTCCTAGGACTTTAGGAAAAGAGGGAAAACCTAGCACCAATCAGTGTGTCACAGGCTATACCTGATACTTCTTATCTTAGAGCCATTTTCAGTTACAGTGATTTTATTTAATAAAACGTATTTCATTCCAATCTTTATATGTACCTTCAATTGCTAGGTATTGGAGTGTGAAGTGTCCTGGGAGTTCTGTAGCATTGTTTAATAAGCAATAACATAAATGATAAGATAACTTTAGGAAGTAGCAGAAAACTTGGATGTACTTAGAAGACAGCCAGGAAAATCAATAAATGACTATTGACTATTTCTGAAAAGATGGTTCTAAATCACTTAAAATACATTTTTAAAAACTGTATTACACCTTGAAATGTTTTATCCCCCCATTTTGCATTTGTTTGTTTGTTTGTTTTGGCAGTGAGGTAAGAAAATATATGAAGGACATCCAGAAGTGCTTATAGCATTAATAGTTGCACTAGTTGATGCCTTTTCTTGAACTGAACTGGAAGTAGTCAACTATTTCCCACTCTAAGAAAATCACAATTCTGTAGAATTACCTTCAAGGACATTTGATACCTAGGAGACTTGAAGCGCTGGCGTGCCAGCATCTGAAATGTATTCTAGGAAAGCTTTTGGCTCTTGGAAAGGGTTCAGATAGATTACAAGGGTGTGTTCTGCTGGTTCTGAAGTCAAGGTCATATTAACTAATGAGTGAAAATATTTAAAGGTTACTGTGAATTGGTATCTAATTGTGTCTAGGAATTTAGGCATGTTTCACCCAAATTTTATATTAGGATTAGTAAATATTCAATAGGATAAATTCATTTAAAAAATTCTTTTTAAGAGGAATTTATTATGGAGGGGAAAAATGTTCTATATTCCTTTCATCTCAGTTAACCTCACTATGGAAAGTCTAGCTTTTCACACCACCAGTTTACTCACATTGCAGCATAAGGTCTTACAAGGAAATAAATTGCCTTTGGAGAGTAAGGTTGCACCCAGTGCTGTGAAGGGAGGTCAGATATTGCCATATCAGGTAAGAAACCCAGATGCCCTCTAAAGTGGATTCAGAAAGGCTTTTGTTCCGTAGTATTCACTTCGTTTGGGGCCCTTGGCCTGGGAGCTATGGAGGATGGCCTGAGAGAGCACCTGACCTTCGAGACAGCGTGCTGACCTCTGCACAGCACAGGATGGGAGGTTTGATTTCACTGGACCTGACAGGATAGGTGCCTGCAGGGCAGCAGACACAGTAGGCACTCCAGTGGGAGGGATGGGATTTCAGCAGGTTCTGTAGCAGGAGTGCTTTGTCCTCTCTTCTTGCTTAAACTCTAATAACTGTCCCTTTACGTACATCACAGCGGCTAAAACTCAAAGTAAACTTGGAAATTAGCTAGTTCAATTCATTTAGTAGAGGTAAAAACCAAGACCCAGGAAATATAAGACTGTCCCCAACATATCTCTGTGTTTATGTTGAAATGTCAGTATGAGACTTGATAACGCTTCACGGATGTGGATACCTGGAATGGGGAAGGGCACATGGTACTAACTGTGCATGCCAAATATGCATGTGTTCAGCTCCCTGACAGTAGCAGCCCTTCTGAAAGTGGCAGCCGAACCTCAGTTCCCTTTGCACTATGATGAGCAAATCATTTTCGAGTGGGAGTTCAGTGCGGGGGCTGCTGCAGCCCAAAGGAACTGTCTGTGGGTACAGATGGCTCTAGAAATGGAAGCCAACCTGACAGAGAGAATGGTATTTGCTTTGAGCGTGCATTTTTCTTAATTATCTCAATTAAATCTTAAAAGGAAAATATTCTAGGAATAATTTGCTCATAGATGAGAAAAACTTCTTGGCCCCAGATCCAGTTCCTCAAAGGGTGCATCTTGCTGAATTGCTTCTCAGAGTGCTAGAATGCACACAATCATTACACAGGCTCTTCATCTCCTATATTTTATGTAACACAGTTTCTACATAAAATATGAAGAGAATATTCTGGTTGGAAAAGGATGGAGAGAAGGGGATAGAATGGGAAGACATCAGTGGAAAATCTGCTGTGTTCCTTCCTGTAAATTAAATTCAGAGTCCCATGAGAACAGCTTCTTTTAGGAGCTCACTTTGACAATCTCCACCAATATTGACATTCCCAGGCTGCATGGACAAGGGATCCTGCTCTCCTGCCCCACTGAGGGAAGGAGGAGTGTGGTGCCCCTGTCCCCAAGGCCTCCCTCAAGGACCCCTCAGCATTCATCAATCAGCTCCTTCCTCAGGGGCCCCTGCTGACAGCTACAGACAGCACTTTTGTTCAAAATAGAAAGGGACTACTCTGGGCTCTAAACCTGAGCCCTATTTCTACATAGAGGGTAGAGCTCTCACTTCTTTTCTTCCTTTGTTAGTTAGGCAAACAAACAACACCTCCAATCCTCAGTGCAAACAGTTAGACCCAGTTAACTCTCCATTTTCATGGCTCTAAGGTAATAAAATCATGGAAGATCTCACTATTCTATACTACCGGGCCAGGCCGTTTAATGGCTAAGAAAACCTTCCATTTTCACAATGGTGGGCAGGGCTGATAGGAGCAGCCTCCTTGTGCACAGGGAAGCCCCCTTTCTCAGTTCATAATCCCAAACTGACTGGGGACAGCTGCTCTCTGAAGACCTATGCGTAGTTCTCAGCACCGAGACATGTGCCAGGGCCCCTCCTAGCTCCTGTTCCAACCTTCCAGTACTAGAGACTTTCCAGTCCTCTCACTGTCTGCCCTGCTCCCTGCCCTGCACGTTGTCAAACACACACACACATTCATGGACACCCCAGGCGGCATGATTGTGCCTTTTTCCCCTTACTATGCTAAACTTTCATTTCTTTTCTATGTACACAGCTCCCTTTGTAGCAGAAATATAGCTCTATCTGATTTGAGCAGTATCATGATGTTCTGATGTAGAATATTACATTTAATAACTTTATTTTTATGCACCCCAAACACAGAGAGACTATAATGTCTCCCACTAAAATAGACATAAGAATTTGTAGACTCATACTTTGGTTTGGGGAGAGAAGATGGGTTATAAAACTGTGCTGAAGTTTCTGTTGATGAATTCATTTCTTCCCTATTGCTTGTTATTAAAATGTTAATATTGAATTTAAACTGTAATTTAATACAGTTTTCACTCTTTCTGCAGCACCTGAAATTCTTAGAGGCTGTGCCTATGGACCTGAGGTGGACATGTGGTCTGTAGGAATAATCACCTACATCTTGTAAGTGAAGAAAAGCAATCTCTAAGCATACTGTTTGCCTTTGCTGTAATATTTTCTAGTTACTCATAGTCCTCATAAAAAACAAGATTCCTTTTTGACTTTTTGTGGTTTTCTATGACATACTAAGTTTAGTTACTGATGGAATTTTCGGAAAATGAGCATTGCTTTTTACTTTGTCATTTTCTTGGGGCCAGAACTTCTGTCTAAGGCTTTGCTGTGTCTCATTCTGCTATGCAGTGTATAGCAGATTTGGGGAACAATTCATTGTTTGATGATAGTTATGAGCATGAAACAAATCCACCTATTAAACTTGCACTTATTTTATTTATGTGCATCTCATCCAAATGATTAGAGTATTATTCCTTTTGAAGGGGCAAATGGTTGTTTAATCTCTGAAGCAATCCCAAACTGGTACGTTTCTTATCAGGAATGTTTTAAATGCATTTGGGCTATCAGTTTTGGTTCCTATATCTGTTAAGTTCTCAAGGACCTTTAGTTTAATACCCTAAACTCAGAGAAACCTGTTCTCTGGTAGAAAAAAAAAAAAGGGCTAAATCTCTGGTATCCCCAACTCCATGCCTGAGCTCCTGTACACTAATAAACATGGGGTTTCAGTTTGCCAAAGAGATGATGGAATTGCAGACAAATACAAGGGGAATAATCAAGAACAATGGAAGAGTATCTGGGGAGGAAGGCTGTTGTAGAACAACTACAAAAGCAAGATATCAGTGAGTTCCAAAGTTTAATTCAAACCAAGTAGATTTGGTTTTCAGTTAGAGGATACTGCAGAGTTAACTGTTGGAACCTGTAATATTCAAATCTGTAAAGAGATTTTGAAGGGTGGGGAAGAAAGCAAATTAGCTCAGGCTGCTATAACAAAATACCATAGACTCAGTGGCTTAAACAACAGAAATGTATTTCTGGAGGTTGAAAGCCTGAGGTCAGGGTGCCACTAGGTCAGGTTCTGGTGAGAGCTGTCTTCTGGTTTGCAGATAGCTGCCTTTTCACTGTATCCTTGCAAAGCAGAAAGAGGAAGCAAGCTCTCTGGTGTCTCTTCTTATAAGGGCACTGATTCCATCATGAGGTCCTACCCTCATGACCTCATCTAACCCTGTTACCTGCCAAAGGCGCCATCTCCGAATACCATCACGTTGGGGGTTAGGGCTTCAACATATTAATTTGGGGGGAACACAATTCAGTCCATAGTAGGAAGAGGTTGGTTTGGTTTGGTTTGGTTAATTTAATAGTGATCTTAGAAAGTGCGGTGTCTAGGTAATATGGGCTAGGAAGAAGGTAACTAGGGTAGAACCCACAAGCAAGTTAGCAAACTGTAAGTTCACCTGGGTTTATATTGATATATTGGTCAGTAAGAACCATAAAAATGTTTAAAAGCAACCCATAAAATAGCCATCTGCTATTATGTAATATCAAAAGATATTTTCAGTGATCAATTCCCTGTGTTTCCAGGATGTATTAAAGCTTAAGAAGAATTTGGAGAGCTAGGGAACCATGTTTTTTCTTAGGAAAGTGAAAACTTTTAGGTAATTTGTTTGCCACACCAAGTGCTTGCTAGTTCATTAAAATGAATTCCTAAGGCCGCATCATAGAATCCCTTCAGCTTACATTAAAGGTCACTTCTATGCTGTGAAAGAATGTTGTCTCCTGAATTATGTGGGTGACATATCATACTTAGTGATGTTAAGTGAAAAGCTGAACTACAAATAATGCTCCAGATTTGCCCCTAAAATGTAAATGTGCCCACCCAATTAGAGTTTCATGTTGAAATGTGATGGGAGGGGTTGAAGCATTGAGGATGTGTAAGAACTCAGAGATGGAGGTAGGAAATTTAGTAACATTTGCCTTGAAAAACTGAAATATGGGATGAGTAGAACTCCATGATATGGTCACTAACATGGGAAAATGAAGAGAAAAACTTGGGGCCATTTGAGAAACGTCTTATTGTAACCCTGAAAATAATTTTTAAAATCTCTCGTTTCTTTCCCCTAGTTCACTTAAGGCCATTAATTATAGGTGTTGGTTGAATAAATGGTAGCAGCCCCCAAAATTAAAATAACAGTGCTGCTCATAACTAATATCCTTTAGTTCTTTTTTTAAAAAAATAAATTTATTTATTTTTGGCTGTGTTGGGTCTTCGTTGCTGCACAGAGGCTTTCTCTAGTTGTGGCGAGCAGGGGCTACTCTTCGTTCCAGTGCCCGGGCTTCTCATTGTGGTGGCTTCTCTTGTTGTGGAGTACAGGCTCTAGGTGCGCAGGCTTCAGTAGTTGTAGCTCTCAGGCTCTTGAGCACAGGCTCAGTAGTTGTGGCTCTCAGGCTCTTGAGCGCAGGCTCAGTAGTTGTGGCGCACGGGCTTAGTTGCTCCATGGCATATGGGATCTTCCCGGACCAGGGCTCGAACCTGTGTCCCCTGCATTGGCAGGCAGATTCTTAACCACTGTGCCACCAGGGAAGCCCCTAATATCCTTTAGTTCTGATCCAACTTATGTCAGCCCCTAAGCCTAGGGACTTTTTATTTAATCTGTAGTTCATTAATAATTGATGAAGTCCACTATGCAAGATTCATTGGACCATTCTCTCCAGTGGATTGTGCCATTGGGCTTATGTACCTCCTTTATTATTATTAAGAGTTCCACCAGGCTATTTTGTGCTATGACCTTGCTATTTCTAAGGATGACAGTAGCCTGGAAATACAGGCCATTTTGTTTCTTACAAGAATTCTGGTCCCTCTCTTTGGTTTAAAGCCTTAAACCAAAACCTTTTGTCCCTACAGACAAAAGCAACTATTACAGTTCTCAGGTCAAAATCAGAATCAGATAACATCAGAGATTCAAATTCTGTCCTTCAGCTTTCAACACTACAGTTCTGCTCAATGGCTTGGAGCTACCCTGTGTAATACAGTCACACTTCAGGCCTTATAATCCTAATATCCTCCTAAACTGTCAATGTCAGCATTCAAATATTTCCATTTCTAAAGGGTTTTCTTACTCTGTGTGTGTGTCTGTGTGCTCATGCACACATGCGTGCTGCTCTCCATCACATTTCTTCCATTTTTGACATTTCAGGCTGATGAGATGTGCATGTTACCAATGCACAGACTTGCTGACATGACTGAGAGGAAAGAAAGGCATTTGAGGACTGTACCTTCTGAACTATCATTTTTCTCTCTAGATTTCCAGAAGGGGAAACATTAAGAGTTCCCTAAACTGGGCTTCCCTGGTGGCGCAGTGGTTGAGAATCTGCCTGCTAATGCAGGGGACACAGGTTCGAGCCCTGGTCTGGGTAGATCCCACATGCTGCGGAGCAACTAGGCCTGTGAGCCACAACTACTGAGCCTGCACGTCTGGAGCCTGTGCTCCACAACAGGAGAGGCCACCGTAGTGAGAGGCCCGTGCACCGCGATGAAGAGTGGCCCCCACTTGCCACAACTAGAGAAAGCCCTTGCACAGAAACGAAGACGCAACACAGCAAAAATAAATAAATTAATTAATAAACTCCTATCCCCAACATCTTCTTTAAAAAGAAAAATAAAGAGTTCCCTAAACTAAGCCTGGAAAGTTGACCAATTTCTCCATGACTAGCCAACAACAGGCTATGTTTTTCTAGTGTTTTGGAGGGCAGAGGAGGGCCAGGTGAGGATGAACTGCCTCCTTGGCAACATGTGGACCTGTGCTCCCTTCTCTCCTTTGCTGGAGCAGTATTCTCTGCGCGGACTTCTGCAGTGGGAGAGGGAGGATGCACAGCCCAGGCCTCAGCACTCCCTGAGACTTGCCTTTTCCTGGCTGGCTCCACAATATTTGAAAGAAACAAAGACTCTCCCAACAGGACGTCCCCTGAGCAAAAGAACATGAGAAATTGCTTCTTCCTAGAAACTCACTACATTAGGATGCACTGGAATGTTTCATTCTGGGCACCAACCTGGCCAGTTTGAAGGAAGAATTTGGGGAAATGTTTTTCATTCTTTTTCCTTCATTCCTTGTCAGATGCAACACATGCCCTAGCACAGACTTTTAAAAAATAGTTCCCTTTTGGTCTTTAGTGATTTCAGTACCTCCACCCACCTATAAACAGTAGAGGTTTGGTGGTCCCAGACCAGCAACTCACTTTTCCTCTCTCTCTTTAGGATGCCAGAGATGGTTCTCTGTTTTTATTTTCTCCCACTTTTCTCATACATTTTTATGCTGGCCCGTGACGGAAGATGAAGGTGAACATAGTGAGATGTCTTTAAGATGTGCAAAAGTGAGGGTCCTTACCAGGTTGAGCTAACGCTAGCCTGCTCACCTCTGCTGGCTGCAGCTGCTCACTGTAGTGAGTTTTAAAAGGCCATTCCCTGACAATAATGTTAGCTCTTGTGTTTGTTCACTCTGAAATCCAAACTGGAATGGGATGGAAATCGAATATTTTATTCATCTCTATGAGAGAATTCAAGTGAAAAGGGCTGAATAAAAACAACTAAAAACTTATCTTTCCACCTTTTAACCTTTTTATTCTCAAAATCCTAACTTTTCTGTTTTGTAATCAGTTGGAATTCTAATCAATCTGTCTTCTCAATTCCTGGTGGAAAAAAATCCACGGCGGGCTTCCCTGGTGGCGCAGGGGTTGAGAGTCCGCCTGCCGATGCAGGGGATGCGGGTTCGTGCCCCGGTCCGGGAAGATCCCACATGCCGTGGAGCGGCTGGGCCCGTGAGCCATGGCCACTGAACCTGCGCGTCCGGAGCCTGTGCTGCGCAACAGGAGAGGCCACAACAGTGAGAGGCCCACGTACCGCAAAAAAAAAAAAAAAAAAAAATCCATGGAAATAGCACTATAGCATAATGCCTATAATAGTGTTAGCTATTATTATTGTTGTTTGTGTCATAATTATTAATATGATTATAACTTTTTGTAGAAATCTTAAATTGGTTTTGTATCTATTCTCACTTCCTGAAGACATGACTGTGTGTTTATATAATCAAAAGTGAATGGTAAGAAGGTGATTACATACTTAAACTGAGCGATTACATTCATAACAGGAAGCTGTGAAAAAGGACAGTCTTGAATTTCTGCCAAAAATTGGTGAAATATGCTTAGGCTTTTTAAAGACATTTTATTCTCTGTCTTTTGTCCCTCTAGACTTTGTGGATTTGAACCATTCTATGATGAAAGAGGCGATCAGTTCATGTTTAGGAGAATTCTGAACTGTGAATATTACTTTATCTCCCCCTGGTGGGATGAAGTATCTCTAAATGCCAAGGATTTGGTAAGTGTGACCAAAACAAAATGAAACAAAATGAAATAAAATCCCTTGCATTCATTTTTATCTAATTAATGGGCAGTGCCATTTTTTAAATCAACCCCTCTTAATAGCTTATTTCTTTTTAATTATAAAGTATTTTAATGGAACAATGCACACTAATGCATTTTCCTTATAGATAATGAAAAAAGATATGTTTGATTCATCTCTAGCTGAATTATCACAAATTATGGCATATTAATTAATGGGTTTTTACCATCTAGTCAATGCAGAACCTTGCTTATGAAGACAGCTGTGCTGAGTGAATCCAAACATAATTTACACAGGAAAATTCTGTTTTAAAATGGCGTGCTATCACCTAGATTAGTTATACTTTGAATAAAACAACATTGCTTCTTGAAATGTTCAAACTTATTAAAATATCCTGATAGTAACACAAGTCCCATCATGCATGATTATCATTATACAAGTTACACTATACGTTTTGTTTGGTTTTTTTGTTTGTTTTACTTGGCTTCTTACTTCAGGTAACATTGAAGTTTGTTTGCATTCAGGAAACACATACCCTCTAGGGAGATGGCCCACCTGTTGTAAAATAAAGAGGATACTAGGGTGTAATTGAAACATTTACCATCAATCCTCTAGAGAGAAATCGTGCAGAAATAACTAAAAGCTGACTTCTGAATCATAGAAGGTTAGATCTCCAAGGGATCTTAGGAGTCATCTAATCCTCCCTGCATTTTAAAGATAAGTTTGCTAAAGCCCAGAGAAGTGAAATGACTGTCCAAGTTCACACAGCTTCTCAGCAGAAAGGCATTGTTAGGAACTAAGGATCCAGATTTCCAGACCCCTTATCCAGTGCTCTTTTCCCTCCTCACCATCTGTGTTCTTTCATGAAAACACATTTCCTACAGGTCACGGATTTTCCAACATGGTTGTGAAAGAGAGGCCGTGTATGTGATGGGGGAATGTGTCATCCCAACTCCTCCCTCATGTCAGGGCCCACACTCCTAAACATCTCTTGAATCCATCCACTTCTCTCCACCTCCACTACAATTGCCTAGTCCAAGCCCCAACCTCTCCTGGTTCACAGCCGCAACCTCCTATCTGGTCTCCTTGCCTCTTCTTGTGCTCTTCTCAAGTACACTCTCCACACAGGATCCAGAGGAATGGTTTTATAAATAAGTGTCACCCTCTCTTGTGCCACTTATTTCACATCACTCTCCCTTGATCTCTCTTTCCTCCAGAGCACTAGACTTCCAGTCCTTCATCAATGTAGCTCTGGGTATGTTCCTCTTTCTTCTGCTTTGTGATGTTCTTTCCTCCTTCCTGTCCACCATTACATACAGATACACACCTCTTTACATGGGTGACTCTAATCTTCAAGCCCTGGCTGCCATTTGGCATTCTCTGGGAGATTTCGTCTTCAGCAGGCCATTCTTCTCACAATTGGTTCATTCCTTCTGCCACTTGTTCCTCTGCCCCCTAGACTTCCTTTTTCATGATGGTCATCATTTCTATATACTTGCTCAGAGGTGTTCCTTAATTAGATTGTAAGCTCTGGGAGAGGGTGAAGCATGTGTGCCCAGATCTTAGTACCATATGAACATAAAGTACAGGCTCAATAAATATTTGTTGAATGAAACCATGAATCAGGAAACAGACCAAGGATTCTTAAAGTCTGACATGCCTGAATTCAAGTGACCCCCCTGCTTCTTATAATGTACAGGTATGACCTTGGGCTAGCCTAACCTCTCTGTGCTTTAGTTTTCTTCTCTGGGATGATACCAGTACCTATCTCTAGATCTTTAGAAGAAGTAAGGTATTTAATACATACTAAGTAATCACCACCAACTAACTCAATAATAACCCCATTATTTAGTCCTCCTTCCATTTCTTTTTATCCCTCATAAAAATTAAATGGATAAGAGGGTTAGCTGTGATGTTCCTTCATTCAGCTAGACCTCCTGTTGGTTAATAAATGTATAAAACTTCAGAACTAAAGCAATCATTGAGCCTCGTAATGTGTACTTATTAGCAAAACCTGCATCTGTTGTCATGAGCAGAGGCTATGGTGCCAATGAGTGGGGAATTGAGCTATTAAGAGGAACCGTAGGATAATGGCAAGGCTTTGGGTTAGAATTCTGACAAGGTCACTGGATCTCTCTAATCTTCAGCAAGTTTCTTAATAATTCGGTGCATCAGTATCTTCAAATGTAAAGATTAATGATGACATATATAAAATTTTGACACATACTGGCTTTCAGTAAATTCTTTGTATTTTCATGAGGAGGAGGATGGTAATGATAAGAGGAAACGGATGATTAGAAAATGAGAGGGAAATATCTAACTGTCAGGGATGGTGTAAGGATTAGGTGTCATTGACATAAAATTATTAGTATATGTGTTCAACAGATGATAGCTCTGACTACTATCAAATTTGTATTACTACTGTGCATTCTTTTTCTTAATTATCTTTATCTCCCTTCACCTCCTCTCTGATTTTAAGACTAAGCAGTCTCACATCTCTGCCCTTTACAAATTCAGTGTCTCTACCCCACACACACATTTCTTTGCAAATGCTACAAAAAGGAAGTGAAAGGAGAACCAGATATTCATTCTTCATTTGACTAGCTGCCTGATTTTGTTAGCCTGTGTTCAGTTCTTAGGTTATTAGAGTTAGAAAAGATCTTATGCCTTAAATCATCCAAAGCCCCTCATTTTACATATTGGCAGACTGAAACCCAGAGAGGCTGACTACCTTGGAGGCACCATGGTGTAGTGGCCATGAGACAAACTCTAAGACCCGAGTTTGAGTATAGCCCCCACCAGTCACGAGTTGTCTGACCTTACACAAGTCACTAAATCTTTCTGAGCTTCCTTCCATCCCTCATTTATGAATTGGAGCTAATAGTTACTAATTGATAAGGTTATGGACAGGGTTACATGAGTTTTGGGGTTTTTTTTTTAATGTTACATGTCTATAAGAATGTATTTATTGATACAAAGGAATTAGGGTGGAAATGAGGTCATGTAAGGGCCCAGGAGGGTGTCCATAGTTACCCAATTCACATGTGGTCTTTGTCTAAGGTCACAAAAGTAGTTAGAAACTTTGAATAAGTTAGGACTTGAACATGCTTCCTGACTCCAAATAGTCTCTGCCTCATTCCAGGTCACCCCTTCTGAGCCTAGGGCTGGGGATTATTTTGGTTGTTGATCTTCCTGGCAATTTATTGTCTGCTCATCCTCACAAGCAGGGGTAAACCTCCCAGAATAGGGTAACATTGGTTTGAATTCAGTCCTTTAAACAAATCATACCCCCAAGCTACTGACACCTTTACTTTGATTCTAAATAGGCTTTTACCCCAGCTCTTGGCTTATTCCTTCAAGTACCCTCAAGGGATTAGAGAGAGCTATTAACTTCATGATAGACTCATGGTATAATCATAAGGGCTATGATACTGCCCCTATTGTTTGCCATTCAACTCCCATAGAAAGAATGATGGATGCATGAACAATGCCGTCTCCATTGATGTGTATTTTAAGCTCTGAATTCTAAGTGATGTGAAGTGCGGCCGAGAATTATTCAGATGCTGGTTCTCATTCAAAGAACTTCCAGTCTAGGGCTTCCCTGGTGGTGCAGTGGTTGACAGTCCGCCTGCCGATGCAGGGGACACGGGTTCGTGCCCCGGTCCAGGAAGATCCCACATGCCATGGAGCGACTGGGCCCGTGAGCCATGGCCGCTGAGCCTGCACGTCCGGAGCCTGTGCTCCACAATGGGAGAGGCCACAACAGTGAGAGGCCCGCGTACCACAAAAACAAAAACAAAAACAAAGAACTTCCAGTCTACAGGCAAGGCAGGACTTGTTTCTTTGACCTCTGGGGGCAAGCTGTCCACCAGTTTGGGCTCTCAGGTAGCCTACGCACACCACTCTCAGATTCCTCAGCTACTGCTACCTGAAGCCGTCTCTACAGTAACCTCTGGGGACTTAAAAAAATTGTTTAATGTATATTTAGTGTACTGCCAAGGAAATTAAATAAGACCTAGAAGTTCACGAGCTGAGGGGCAAGCCCAGGTCACCGTAAAAATCTCCCTAAGAAGACTATGGTTCTTTATCATTTCAGGTCAGAAAATTAATTGTGTTGGATCCTAAGAAAAGGCTGACTACCTTCCAAGCTCTCCAGCACCCATGGGTCACAGGTAAAGCAGCCAATTTTGTACACATGGATACAGCTCAAAAGAAGCTCCAAGAATTCAATGCCCGGCGCAAGCTCAAGGTTAGATGGCATTTATTTGTTTTATTTTTTTAAAAAAAGATTTCTCTCATATCTTGATGATCAAAGATAATTCCACTATTATTTATCTAATACTATTATTCATCTCCTGTGGTACCAGGAAAAATCCTTCTTTGAAATCCCAACAGTGCTGGTATAAAGCCAATTGTAGTTCTGTTATCCTCTCGTAAGAATTCATTGTGGGTTTTTTTGTTTTTTGGGTTTTTTTGGAGTGGGGGGCACCGTGCCACTAGGCTTGTGGGATCTTAGTGAAAGTGCCAAGTCTTAACCACTGGACTGCCAGGGAATTCCCAGAATTCATTGTTAATAAAGGGAAATGTGTTGTATGTTGAGCTTTACTCACCAAACAAATCCATTATCATTGCTTCTCATTTAATTAAGGCTGAACTGCTTGAACAGCATTGTTCAGGAAACTTACTCAGAAAGTTGTCTACTTTCTGAATATGGAAAAATTGGGAAAAAAAATTTTAAACTATGTTTTAGTACATAGGCAAATAGTTATACTTGGTACAAATTAAAATAATTCAAGTGATAGGGAAAATTATCTACCAAAACATATCTCTTTTTATAGAATGTATATGGAATAGAAATTAGGTGCTTTTCTCTTACTTAATGGTATTTAGGACTAGCTATACATACAGGGGATCTCAGAGAACAGCTGGGGGTCAAAAACAGTGTTGTATTCAGCAGTCGCTTACAGGCTGATACAGACTAAATAAACCTGAAGGGTTCCATGGTCATATGAATTTGAAATACACTAGATTAAACAACCTTGACTTAACCCAGAATTTCTCAAACAAAGTTGACTGTGGAACTCTTTTATCTAGATAGTGCCTACTAACATCCATGGAACTAGTGTCCCGTGAAACAAATACTTTGGGAAACACAATCTAAAATTTTTGAATATTGGTAACCCACGGGAAAATGCATTTACTCAGGTTTTTGGTTGTCCAGATGATTAAATACGCTAATTTGAGATTAAACATATTTTGCTGTTCATTCTCCAAACAAGTTTTCATTAGACAATCTTGGAATAATATACTTTCAAAGATTAAACACTAACATATAATAACAAACTCCCTAAATGCAAAATTGAAATTGAGCTCTGATTTGGGATTTTAAGTGAAAGTAACACCTGACACTTTTCTGTTTCCAATCAGGCAGCAGTAAAGGCCGTGGTGGCCTCTTCCCGGTTGGGAAGCGCCAGCAGCAGCCATGGCAGCATCCAGGAGAGCCAGAAGGCCAGCCGAGAGCCATCTCCAACACAAGATGGCAATGAAGATGTTAAAGCTATTCCGGAAGGAGTGAAAATTCAAGGAGATGGGGCCCAAGTGGCAGTTGAGGGGGCAGAGGCTGAGCTGATGAAGGTGCAGGCCACAGAGAAAGTTAAAGATGCTGAAATAAATGCTGCTGAGGCCACCAAGATGGTGCCCGAGGCATTAGAGGATGGGATAAAGGAGGCTGACCCAGAAATAGAGGAGGGCCTAGTGGAGGAAAAGCTGAAGACTGCTGAGGAAGCAGCAGCCCCCAAAGAAGGGCAAGAAAACCCTGCTCTGGAATTTGGAGCTCAGCAGAATGATGTGATCCTGCCAGAGTACTAAATGGCTTCCTTCCATCTGGGAGCCAAATCCTGGCACTTTATGCATTTTGTCCTTCAGCAAGGAAGGTGGGGAAGCATGATATGCACTATAGTGATTCTGTTTTTAAGGTGCAAAAAAATACATATATATCAGTTGGTAATCCTAACTTCAATGCATGTGACTGCTTTATGAAAAAATAGTGTCTTCTATGGTATGTAATGGATACCAAATACCTACTGATGAATTAAATTTGAAATTGCAAGTAAACACAACATAACATTTAAAAACATACATTTTCAGGGACCAGTAGCACACATTTGAAGTAAATAGTAACAAATTGTTTTTGCTTTGAAAACCTAGCCAGCCTATACCCTTTGGATTTCTTTACAAGGATTGTTGCCCAGCTAATACTAGGTAGAGCTATAAGATGTATTCCCATGACATTCACAGTCTTTTCAGTAATGTGTTCAAACTGTTTACAAGAAGATGGTTAGGTTATAGTTGTATGGTATGTGCAAAAAAAAAAAAAAAAAAATCCACTTATAATGGTAAGAAACTGAAGCATGCTTTAAGGGCTATGAAACCATATGCCCCTAAAGCTTGTGTGCAGAATGTTTTTTATCTTGTCTTTATTTATACACACCATATTACTAATAACCAAAAACATTCTATTACAAATTTCTGCCATTTTACAGTCCTAAAAAAATTATTTTACAGACTCATGCTGAGGAATTTATGCTTTCCTTCACCTGCTCTCTAACAAGAAGTCCTTCTGATGGACAACACTTAGGGGCGGAATAAAGAAATTTAGTGAAGAAAAGGAGATAAGACTGGGACTTAGACTAATAAAGACTGACTCCTTGTCATTTTTCAGATAAAATTGAATTTATTCACAAGCTTGTACAATTTTAAAGATAGGAACACTTTTATGGATAAACTCTATACTTAACCAAGATTCAGATATTTAGAAAAGTCTACACCAAAGGCTGGTGCCAAAATGTCTGAATAGAGTGGGAATAATATCCCATTGTAAGATCATCCATTATTGACTTTAGTATAGTAAGGAAACCTTTGTTTTTATAAAAGTCCTTTTTTTCCTTCAACTGATGGTTATTTAGATATACGGCTTATGAACTAAAGATATTTCTGAAAAGCTAGTATATCTTTTTCTCATACTTGGAATGGAAGCACCCATAATTTACAATGTATTTTTGAAAGTTTCCATGTCCAGAAATGTAGGACAATGCAGCTTTTAATTTACTTTAGTAAACAAAAACAAAAAGAAACAATGAAAAAAACACTGATTTCAAATCAGACTCTTGAGAAGCTGTAACATTAGACCTAATACATTACCATGATTTTTTTCAAAATATTTTTCTTTGGTTTTCATATAAACACTTTTCCCTTATAAAAATCACAGTTAAATTCCAAATACCTCAGATTTATTTCTAGCTTGAGCTTAAATGAACATTTTTATCAAATTAATTATGCAGCATATTTTAGTAGGTTTCCTTAATTTTAAAAAAGGATTATTTTCAGGCCAAAATTATGGATAAAAATGACTATCACATAAAAATCCTCCTCAAAAATAGAGATCTTAAATTCTTTGGGCTCTTCCTCAGAAATATTAAATTAGAAAATTAAATTAAACCTCTGGTTTCTGGGGACTATAGGACCTAGGAGACATTCTGCTTTCCAAGTGCAACTCTTCCTTTACTACTGTTCTCATGAGAAGAAAATAAGGTAGAACTTCTTGTCTTCCATAATATAGGGGCCTGACAGATCACTGACGTGGAGGGAAAAGCCCTTAAGGGCACATCATCTGGACTCAGAGAAAGATTTTTTGTTTCATTTTCTCTTTATTAATTAGTAGAGAGTACTTATCTTCTTCTCTTCTGTTTCCCTCCTTCTTTATTCTCTCAGAATTTCCATTTTAGCTATTATCAGGGGCTCACTAGTTTCAACCTTTAAGAATGCCTTCTTCCCTAAGCATTAAGATTTCTATTTTAAAAGACCAATTGCCTGGTATACTTTTCCCAAAGAGACTTAACAGGTGTATATGGTGAGGCATATATGGTAAGTGTCCCATATACTGGAAAAGGGAAGAAGAGAGGGAAAGGAATCTTAATGGAAAGTGGCAATACTAATAGGAAGATGAGAACACGTTGTCCCTCCCAGCCCACGTCCATATTGTTCCAAGGGTAGTGGTTATATCATCCCAACATTCAGGGCTGACTGCAGTGGTTGGACCTGCGGACTGTGTAGCGTGAAGAGCACTGCAAATGCCAAGGCCAGTGTGTGCTTAAGAATTTACCCATTTAAATGAGTACACATGCCTATTCCCTGTGAGGGTGTGAGCGTAATTTCCTCTTTTTTAACCCGTAAATTGCACTCTCTAAAAATCAGCAGGCGTTTTAAATTTTGACTTGTATGTTAAAGATTAAGTCCTGATAATACCTAAGTGACTGAGTTAGTCATTTAAGGGGAAAACAAGTCAAAGCTTCACAAAAATCGGGCATTTCAGCCAAATGATTCAACCTAGGATTTCACAGAGATGCTATTTAAGTTAGGATAGTTAAATTAACATTCTTGAAAAAACAGTAAACATTTATATTGCTTGTTAAAATGGATATATTATCTATCTCAAAGATTATTTATTTATAATAATAGACTAATGCAGATAGAACCTTAATTTGATGAACTATTTCATAATGTTTCCTTTAATTGACACTATAGTCACAAAGCAAATAATTAAGGGAATTTCAGCAAGCAATACATTTTGTATTTTAGAGATGACAGTTATTACATTATTGATCTTTGTTCTCAGATAAGTTCAGATACATAGCATAAACCAGACTATTTTGCCATAGAGAAGGACAATCTTGAATTATTTCTCCCATTTAAAAAGTCTAATTGGAATCCCAGTGGTTTTTCTCAAACCGTAAGAGCTCATTTGTCCCATGAACACAAAAATAAGGTAGAAATTAGAATAATATGGTTGTAGAAGTTATTGTCTAGAACAAGTGCTGCCTAATATAGATGATACAAACCACATATGTAATTTTAAATTTTCTCCTAGCCACATTTTAAAAAGTAAAAAGAAAAAAAACTGGTAAAATTAACTATATTTTAATCCAATATATCCATACTATTATTCCAATACATAATCAATATGAAAAAGTAACAAGACCTTTTAAATTTTTTATTTTTGTACTAAGTTTTCAAAAGAAGGATTATGTTACACCTTTAGTACATCAAGTGCTCAATAGCCACATGTGACTAGTTGGTACAGTGGTACTAGAAGAGCGCTGGTCTAGAGCACTTTCAAAGCAAAATGACAGACAAATTTCTATGCTTAGATTTGAGCTGCCTCAGTTTTCCACACTGATGAGTTGGTAGGAGGCCAAAAAGAAAATGTTTCAGAAATGTCATAGACTGAAATGAGTAAAAACTCTGTTGGCCACGTCTACTTATTCATGTGCTTCAGAGGAAAAGTGTTTCCCAGAATGACTGTTAGAGAACTTTCCTGGGCATTGGCAAGTTGTCTGTTGGCTACAGTTCCTCTCTTTGGGCCCTGGAATCTTGACTACAGGCTAGCATCTCCTGAGTACTGCCATGAAGCCAATCGTGTTCTCACATACCAAAATCTTCTGCAGGCGAACCATGTGTCCTCATTCAGGAAGGACTGCACACAGAATCTTAGTGGGATTTTGTAGGCCTGGCCACCAACAAGGCTGGACACCATCCTTGTATTGCAGGCAATATTTCTTTATAGAAATCTTCTGAAATATACCAAATTTGCATGATAAAGACTGTATGATGAGGATGATATCACCCCAGTTATCCCTAAAATGAGAATATGACCATCCGCTGGCATTTTTTATATTTCCTTAGAAGAGTTTAATCAACTCTGCCATTACACATGGATTCAAAAGACTTTTTGGAATTTTCTTACATATTGCTATTTTAGAATAATCCTCAAGGTTCTATAGCCATTTTTAGTGGCAGACTTTAAAAGAAAAGAACAGTTTGCCTTTTACTGTGACCTCAATTACATAGTATTTTAAACATATTTTGTAATTTAGAGTGTTTATCAATCCCTATTTCCAGTTTCACATGAAAGGTAACTGCTTGAAGATTGCCTATAGACTGAAAATTTAGAGAAAGCCATTTTGTTTCATAATTCAGTTGTTTCACAGAAGCATCTGGTTGCATTTCAAATCAGAAAATAAAAGAAGTAAATGCCAAAAAAGGCAAAGGATAAAATCAGTAAATCATTTATTCTGTTTTAGGATTGTCTTTGCAAAGCAAATGCAAAAACAAGTCAAAAAAGTGAATCAGCACTAGGTTTTTCTTGATGAGGCTGACTCCACATAAATTGACATAAATATACTGAGAAGAGTCAATTACATAATTACAGTGCCATTATGTAATTTACTTGTCATTGCAGAGTATTCAGTCTGGTTACCTAGGTCTGCTTTAGCTGGTGCAAACTTTTCCGACATCTACTTACATAATAGGATTTGTAATATCCTTGTAATTACTGCCTATTAGGTCATATTTAAATTTCCTTAATGTTCAGCACTGATATGTCTCTGATCAAGGTCGTTGCTAACATTTGAGCATTTACTGGTTAAATACTGCTTACTGGTTAGACTCTATGTGTGTCTTCACTGTTTTTTTTTTAACATTTATGCACATATAATCTCAATATTGGTATAATATTCATAACCACATGTTAAGCAGAAATGTAACCAATAATTTTCTATAAGACTTTTTCAAAGTTCTTTTCTTCCCCTGGCACAACTCAGGGTGAGTTTCTGGCTCCTTGACAAATAGAAAAAGAACCTAAAAGATCACTGGAGAGATATCAGCTATCCACCCATAGTAACCAAGCTCAGCATTTCTTCTTTCTATATCTTGATCTGTTAAGGGCCAGTTTTTGTCATCATTACTTTCAAATATCACCTGAGATCAGATAATATAGTCTCAGCTCACATAGCCCAACCATTTATATACTTTTCTTGGAGAGCAATAACAAACTTGACTAATTTATGTTTGCTTGTTTAAAATTCTAATTTTCACACACTCTCTGTGGTGTACTCTAGAGGCTTTGATTGTGTGATTTTAACTTCCTTCAAGATTCAGTCTTTTCTCTGTCACCTGACCCAGAGGTCTACTTAGGGAAAGGAGGAAGCCTTGCCATGAGAGTGGACCATGTGAGTCCTTGACAGGAATCAGACATTGCTCTAGTGAAGACTCAAGGCATCTGTCTTGGTTGAGCTCAAATGAGCCAAATGGGAAATACCTCTTCCAGTGATACTGTTTGAATATTGGTACAGTGCCATTAGTCAGTAATGGAAAAAGAGATTTCACCAATCATTTGCTCTTCCCATGACTTGGTTTGCTACCACTTATCCCAGATCAATGTTTTCTTCCATCCCTATGGCCATCACACTGCCCTCTCGAATTGTGAAGTCCTCTAAAATCCTGGAAAGAGTATCCCAGACTGGTCAAAGAAATATGGAGTCTTTGGTGGCCCAGAATTTAGTTTGAAACTCTAAACAGCAATGCTAAGACAGCAAAATCATACTGTTC